ATTTTTTTTTTTTTTTTTTTTTTTTCTCTTTTTTGGTATGAAACAGCACTTTTAAAGAGAAAAATGAAGAATATACAAGAATAAAAGAAACAAGCCCGAACAAAGGGAGTTCAAACCTAACTCCAGAAAAGGGTTTCGATCCAAAAGAATAACTCCATCCAGAGTTCCTGATTAAAATATACATAGGTTGCTCCACAACCCACCTTTGCATCAAGTAACTTCTCAAGACTATTGATGCTCTTGGATAAATTTTGCTGATTGCAAGCACCTGAATTAGTAGAAGTAGAAGAAAGATCTGAGTAAAACAAACTCGCAAGAAAAACAAAGGCATGTCATCTGCAATCAAGTAGAATATATCCCAAGCAAAAAGTTTATTTGGAATAATGCTTACTCCACTCAAAATGATCGGCAAGGTTCTCTCTATAGAAAGAAGGGCCCCCTTCCTCCATCTTGTTAGGAATCAAGACTCTCCACAATAAGCCTCCCCTGAGACTTATGGAGCTCTCGAATAGCCTCCCCTTAATTGAGGCTCGACTCCTTTCTCTAGAGCCCTCGAACAAAGTACACCATTTGTTCGACACTTTAGTCACTTTTGACTACACCTTCAAGGCTCACAATTCTTTGTTCGATATTTGAGGATTCTATTGTCATGGCTACATTTAGGGCATGACTCTCCACGATGGTATGATATTGTCTACTTTGAGCATAAGCTCTCATGGCTTTGCTTTGGGCTTTCCCAAAAGACCTCATACCAATGGAGATAGTATTCCTCACTTATAAACCCATGATCTTCCACTAAATTAACCAATGTGGGACTCACTCCCAATAATCCTCAACCCTCCTTCCCAAAAAATAACCTTTCAAAGGCTCTTTCTAAAATGCAACAAAACAAGCTGGGCAACTTACAACAGAGATAAATTATAGAGGAATTCCACTTAACTGAGGTTGGATCAAAATTAGCCTCCCCACTTCCATAAAAAAATAAACGAGCCTTCTCTCTTGAGAAAGACTTCTTGCAGAAAAAAGATGTTTCTCAACTTTGATCATGAGTAGTTTCCAGAAAGAACAAGACCAAAAGCCAAAATGAACAAACCGGGATGCCTAAAGTGTAATAAAACAACCTCACAGCCCACCATCTGCTAGTTAAGGATCACACTTGACCCACCAGGATATTGGCCATTTAAGTTTTGAACCCGAAAACAACTCAAAGCCCAAACACCCTTTTCAAATTAGAGAAAACGGATCTAGGGAAAAGAAAATAATATCATTTACAAATTGCAACAATATGGATCATATACATCAGACATGAAATAGAAGCACTAAAAAAAAAAAATTGCTGACACCAGATCCTATGAACTAAAACCGGGTAGCTCAAGAATCCTGTACTTGTACTAAGAACATACTGTAATGCATGGACATCTTTATGATAAAAAAATCCCAAGCATTCACAGCTGTACCAATTTAAGAACCTTTGCGGTTTTTAAAACTAAAATAAGATAATGTCTATTTAGGAAAAATAAACCGATAGAACCCAAGAATAAGCTCCCAACCTAATGGAAATTGAAATGTTAATATAAGGAGATACCTTTTCCTACAACTGGAGATGCAGTCATGCCAAATATCCGGGGTCGTTTATGCTCATTTGCTTTATAAAACACCTATATAAGAGGTAGAAATAAATTACATTAAGAAATTTAAGTGGCCATCAGGAAAGATAGAAGCCCATCTGACCCAAATACTTTACACATATAGAATTCCTTACTCTCATGATTTCTGCATAAGAATGGTCACTTTTGACTTGGGCATGATGGCATTCATCAAATATTAGAAGTTCAACAAACTCCATCCTGATATAGCAGTGGTGTAAATTACGCAGTAATATTTCAGGGGTCATGACAAAAACCTGCATAAGATCAAGCCATAAGATGTATAAGAGATGGAGAAGTAGCTAAAGAAAACCTTTTTCCTTATTCATTCAAAAATATCCAATTCTATTGAGGTAAATGATCTCTGAAAATAGTTATTTTCAGCCTCTTCTCACTGTCTTTAATGCAATGACATTTACATTAAAACAAAACATAATTGAATTTTTTTGGTTCATATTAAAATGTCCGTAATGTAACAAGTTAACCATATTCTTTTTTAATATTCCAATCTCAAGAAGAAATACCATGCATATATGGCTGATTAGAGAAAGCCATTTTGCTAAAGATGCAACTATCGTAGATATATTAAGAGGAACAATTAAAATAGATAGTCACCTCATATTCTTCCATCTCTCTTTCCCAATCATAATGGCTATTCAAGCATTTGGAACCTCCACAGTAGACCTTGACCTTGAAATCTATAGAATCTTCTATAACTTTTGCTTGCTACCAATGCGATAACCAACAGAAAAAAGCCTTTACATTGAGCTTTGGAACCACTCGTGCAGAAATTGATAAAAGTATTGAATTCAATAATCATTTATATAAGCAAATAGATTCTTGACGTTAAGAAGCAATTATTATGCAGAAAGTAACTTTATGAGTAACTGTTTATATAGTCCCAATATGATTGTAGATATAGCCGAAGTATATATGTTTTTCTCAGCAAACAGAAAAAAAAGGAAGCTCTAGGTATCGACAAAAAAAAACAAGAAACGGTTCGTTGTTGATAATCAAAGACAAAGGTAAAAGAATAATCGCCTATATTAGGATGTAGGAGCTAGAACTTATTAGCTATACTTGTCGTCGATCCAACTATTATTGAATCTTGCCTGGCATTCACTCTCTGAGAAAGTCAAAGGCGTCGCTAAACCATAGTTTGTTTCTCTGATCCTATTGAGAAACATAGCTATTTCCTCATTCGGATTTTCATTTGTACCCAGCTTTTTAATAAAGAAGCATACTAGAACCTAACCCATTTGATGCAATCACGTGATGAAACGTTATAAGACGTATCCTTACTACATGGTTGTTTTTATGTAAGTTACGAACTTCTATACTAGTTTCGAATTGCTTAGTTGCAATCTGGCACTTAGCTTACCCCAAGTGTCATAAGGTTCAAAGGGCCAACTTTCACGTGGATGAAATTTTCTTACTCTTTCATTGACATCAATATAACACATGGATGTAATTGGTTGAACTTCGACAAAACAACTTCAAAGCCCATTTCAAGCAAAGAAATCAGAGTGCAAATCAAACCAATAAAAATTAGAGGGGCCAAGAGATCAACGCCTCACCCTACCATTATGAAAGATTCAACAAGGCAAAGATAGAAGTGTAACAATTTATTCCCACAGAAAAGAACAATAAATATGGATAGATAAACAACAACCAATAAACTTCTGCATAATTTCAAGTTTCAACACCTGCTGAACTAAAGCAACGGTAGGAGCCAGAAAAACACAGATACCCTTCTGGGGCCTCCTGATTAAGTGGCCCATCTCGTATATCAGAAGTATAGCAATGTGAGTCTTCCCACAGCCTGTCCCAAGATAAACAATGATATTCTCTTCCAAAGCTTTCTCGCATAGCTCCAATTGATATCTACATAAAAAGAACGATGAAAAAATAATGTCTCAACAACTTTTTCAGTTCGTAGCAGTGATCATGACCTTCAGACAAACGTTTCACTGGGCAATTATTCAAAAAAATACATAAAATGTGAAGTTAAAGAACAACAAATTCACCACTTAGAACGTTAAATTAACAATCAGTTTGTACTTAGGAAAGCATTAGAAACGTAGTTGATAGTTGATAATCGTTTACTATGAATAAAGAATGTAAACATTAAAAAAAATTCTAAATTCTGTGTACGACATTATCACTGAAAAATCGACAGTAACTCTCGTGTTCAGAACACAGCCAAACAAATGCACTAAAACTCTATAACCGTACAAGAGGACATGAAATGACTTACTTCCTTGCGATTCTCCTTGGATCTTTGCCTGATGTTCTTATACTTGAACCCGCTCCCTGATCATCCACCGGAGACAGACCCATAAATCTCTCGACCGACGCAGAGCTAGTGGGCTGAAAATTGACGCTATCGGCAGTCGTAGAATTGATCTCTCCATCAGGCATCCTAAACCCAACTCCAGGTAGAAATTAAATATCACAGAGCTGAATGAACTTTGTCAGATACTGTAATAAGCAGAGCACAGCAGAATGAGGAGGAAAAATGAAAAACACTACGCTACGTGCTTCTTTAAGCGAATGATGTCTTGGTCCTTCGATGGGCACACGAATATCCGTACAATGAGTGGGACCCCAGTTGTTTAAGAAGACTAAAAAGCAAAACCCAGGAAGCAGAAAGTCTATACAATCACTCCAAACTTGATGGGCAAGTTAAGTGCCTTCCTTACGAAGCTATCGCCTCCATGGAGTGGAATTATGCGCCTCTTATCAATGGAGGTGAATCTAACGCGAACATGCCTTAATCGACAAGGAGACGCGATTCGAAAGCAAACCGTGGAATTTGTTCATCGAAATTCTTGGAAACTCTGTTCTGTTCCGAACAGGAAACTGCTCTTTCGCGTTGGTACTGTAAGCTCCCTTGCTTGTTCGCGAGTGTCTCTTTCGTGGAAATAAATGTCGTAATAGTCAATCTGCTTTTGGTTTATAATTAAGAAAGTCGCTTTGAGTCGTCGGAAAAGTTCTGGTTCTTTGTGTGCCGTTTCTTGTCAGTTCATGCTCTGGTCGTCGCCGTTTCTTGTCAGTTCATGCTCTGGTCGTCGCCGTTTCTTTCTCCGTGGCGCGCCGGGAACCGCCGATTTTGTAGGGTCTGGGCGGGGACTATACAGTCAGGAAAAGACAATTTTAACCCTATTAATAAATTGGGAATTTCAATATTTAATTTCTATTTTTTTTCCCTCCCCAAATCTATCACAATAAACCTAAATTTCATTTTAATCCTTTTTTTTTAATAATAAAAAATTAGCTTTTATTTACCTATATTTTTTAATTATATATATATATATATAAATAGTTCAAAATTTTAATAAAATAATAAATAAAATAATTTCGAGAGATTGATATATTATGCTATCATTAAAAATATTATAAGCGCGACTGGACTTTCATCGCCCAACCATAACAAAAAAAATATATATATATATATATAATATAATATTCTATTTAATTAATTTTTTTTAATTAAAATTTTAATATTACACCGGTCTTAATTTATAATAATTTGAAAGAGAATTACATGGTATTGCTTTGGTCATCGCCTGGATTTGCAGGCATTACGTTCTTCCAGAACCAGTGCTTCCTCCATATCAGGATCATCTCTTCAATGGGAACTCCTTTCGTTTCGGGAAGGAATATGTAAACGAACACCGTCATCACAGTGATCCAACCAGCGAAGAACAGGAAGATTCCGTACTTCAAAGCGCAGAGGAGGGAAAGAAATGACTGTGCGATTATGAAAGTGAAGAGAAGGTTCACTGCTACTGTGATGCTTTGTCCTGCCGATCGTGTTTCTAGAGGGAATATCTCGCTAGGTATTGTCCAACCTAGTGGCCCCCATGACCATCCGAACGCCAGAACGAATAGACAAATCACTATCACCACCAAGATCGAGAATCCTTTTGATAGCTCCTCATTGTTGCCGAATTTCACCCCCAGGATAATGGCGACAACGACCTGTTTATTCACATGAAAAGTCAATAGTTAAAATTTTGGAGTGTTTTCAGGACTTCCGTCTCTTCTATTGATGTGTAAGTGAACCATTCGTCTCATTTTTTTTTTTTTTTCGACTGAGTACGAAATACTATGTGATAATAAGATGTCAATTCACCAGCATTTCAGATCAAAGAATAGGGCTGTTTCAAATTTTAATGAAATGTGATGAAATCTTGCCTGGCATGTTATCATTTGTATTCCTCCTGAAATTAGCAGTACTCTTCGGCCTAATCTGTCGACGGTCGCTATCGAAATCAAAGTTGAAGATGCTAGAACTGCTCCTGTCAAGGCTGAGGAGTAGAGAGCTGCATCTCCACCAAACCCCATGCTCTGAAACAACACTGGAGCATAAAATAGAATTGAATTTATGCCTGTGAGAATCTGAAATGTTGGCATGAAGAATGCCATGACCAACTGTGGTCTGTTGCTCCTTCTAAAGATGTTTCTAAAAGGATGTTTGATGGAATTAGCAAATTCACTTGCTTCTAGAATGTCTTCATACTCTGCATTCACATCGTTTGTTCCTCTAATTTTCTCTAGAATTTTTCTTCCTTTTTCTTTTGCTCCCCTCTCCATTAAACTGTTTGGTGTCTCAGGTAGAAGTAAGCCTCCCACTGTCATCAACAAAGCTGGAAATGCAGCCAAACCCAGGGAGAGCCTCCATCCCCATGGGTCAAGCTTCTGTGTCCCATAATTGATCATGTTTGCCGTGAAGATCCCAAGAGTAGTTGCCAGCTGAAACATCATGTTCAGGCCTCCTCGAAGGTGTGTTGGTGCCATCTCTGATAAGTAGAGTGGAACTGCCTTTAAGAACAAACAAGCATTAATGCATTAGGAATTGAGGTGAAAATGAATTCCTCTCTAGACAAAGTATCTTAAATGATAGAAAATGGAGGTGTTTAAGCATGTAAGGTAGTCCATTCTCTTAATTTTCAGGTGCAGGAACCATACCTGATTCCCAAAGCCAATGCCTACACCAAGCATAATTCTTCCTAGGATGAGCATTTCAAGATTGACGGCGGCAGCATTTAGAGTTGCCCCAACAAGAAAGCTAATTCCACCGCAGACTATGCTTGCACGGCGCCCATAGTTCTGGGTGATGGGAGAGGCCACCAATGAGGAAACTAATCCAGCAAGATATAGCGATGAGGTAAATGCTGCAAGCCCTTGATTATTGTACTTGCAGTAATTGTTTTCATGTGCACGCATCTTGTTTCTGTACACCGATGGAAAGAATTTTTCAAGGAAGGGATTCATCGATGTCACCCCACCTGTTGGATCATAAAGTTAACATTTCAAAAGGTTCCTTCACTTCACTTATTCAGCCCCTATGGAGTTCTATATTATTTTGATGCAGAGAAAAATCATAAATGGGGCTTTTTAGCACCATCACCTCTCAAAGTTGAGATAAGTTTTGTGATTTGTTTAATCCCTGATTGATTAATGCTAACTTCCTGTAAATTAGCTAAATCACTGTGCTGCTAGAAACTCAAAACTTTTTGTACTCTTTTGCTGGATACTTAGATGTAAGCTTTGAAATTCCTTCTGACATCCAACTTTTCTCCTCCATAGTCGTGCCCCATCGACCCCCCCAACCCATAAAAAAAAACTTGGAAACGAGGAAAAAGGAACAGGCCAAGATAATCTTGGAGATCCTAATTTGTTCTTGAGACGATTAAAGAGAGATTGGATATGAAGCTCAATACAGAAAACAGGAAGTACCTGAAATTCCAATGTCATAACCAAAAATTGAGCCACCAACAGCAGCCACAAGACAAGCAATAACCACATAAGGCGTAACTCTTCCTTTGTACTGCTCTGCTCTCTCCTTGGCCACTCCTGCTGGAGCAAAAGACCCACCTGCCATCTTCACAGACCTTCCCCTCCCAACAAATTTCTCTGCTTCCTCAGTTCAAGCTTCAATCCTCAACGCGTGAACAATTATTTTATCTGTTTCTATTCTAACCCTTCGGTGATTTCTTCAGATTATTGATGGTGAGAAAGAGACCCGCCCATATTCAACTATATAGGGAAGGAAAGGATGGGAAACCAAACTTTAAATATTTTGGTCAAGGGAAATTAAGTCTCTGTCTTGGTCATCATTTTCCTTTAAATTTTTTGGCAATTATAAACTTAGGCTAAATTTGTTTTTTCTTCTCTTTCTTTCTTTATTGTTTAGATATTTCAAGATGGGAGTTTCATACGTACGGCAGTTGCGTTGTATTTGTTACAAGTTCAGTAGTCAAAATTTGCATTAATTACCTATGATGACTTATTTGTTTTGATTTGATTGGCTCATCTTCTTGCTTGGATCATGGAGGTTTCACTTGACTGACACCGAATAATCTCCCCTGTTCGGTTGATAGATCGGTATGTTTTGTAGCTTAGGCAGTGCCCCAAACATCAAGAGGGAGATCGAGCTGTTTATTATCTCACTTCTTTGTTTAAAACCGTTTTTTACAAAAATTTTGTTTATTGTTTATTGTTTACCTAAAATTACTCGAATGAAAGTGGCTTCTAATTGTTCTTGGAAACAAAATTGTTATCTGTTCATGGTTTAGAAAGTTAAGTTTTCAAAACCATTTTTCTAAACCTTTCCGTATGCAGTAAAATTAAATTTGTTCATCGTCACTATGAAACCACACAAAGCACACATTTGGGAGAAGTTTTATTGTTAAAAGTTTCAATTATAAATAGTAAATCATTTCCTTTTTTAGATATTATTTGCCTGATATAGCAAAACTTTCAATGACAATTCTCCTTTTGCAGGGCTGGTTAAAGCTTTGTGATGTGTATATATGGAGGCAAGGTCGTTGATGGGAAAAGAGCCCCCCTGTCTCTCTGAGTTGGCCTCACCATTTTGTAAGTTATGAAGTTATGAGCGAAGCTCCACTTGGATGCATTGATTATTTCGAGGTCTTTGTTGCATGTGATTGTCATTCAGTCTCTTTCCATTCTGAATTCTTTATCAAAACTTGAAATGGACTTAGCTTAAAACTTCCCTACCTCCCTACCCCTACCGTAATCAATTATATTTTAACTAGTTGAAACTATGAAGTAATAGTTTAATGTGTACATTATTTCCTTAAATCCGCTTCCAAATTAAGGTGCTAACTTTATCAATTCTAACCGATAAAAGAAAAAGATTTGGTCGTTGCTCTAATGTTTATGCCTTATATTCAATCATTGCATTAGATTGTTAAATTTTTTAACTTTGTCGACGTAAGCATAGTTCAATAGTAATGGACTATGTTCAATTTCTTGAGAAATCGAAGGTTTAAATTTTCATATACAACTTATTTATTATAAAAATAAAACAATAAAAAAATATCATCATTTGTCCCCAATTATTTCTTAATTATTTTCTTGACAACAACGTTGAGTATACCCGTTGACTTGACGCACGAACATGCTTGTTATAAGGAAGAATAAGTGGAATAGTGGCTAACTTTGCTATAGATAATTATGTCCTCTCCTACATAAATGTGGTTTTATTAGTTTAAAAGAAGTTCTATTTTATAAACATATAGTTTATTAATTAATTTTTTTTTAAATATCTAATATAATTTATTTACTCCACCTTTCCTTGTCTCCGATAAATTATTATCATAAAGATGAAATATGCGTGAAAGTGACTTCAAATTTTAAAATTAAAGATAAAAGAAGGATAAACATAACTTATACAAACCGTCATTGAACTAATAAGAAGCGTTTTTTTAAGATATGATTTGCCCAAAGTATAGAGGAACTTAGAGAAATTTATTAACTTAAAATAACATCGAGTGATTAAAATTTGAAAAGATTTGATTCCACATTTTGTGGTAATTGTTTTTCTTTTTAAAACAAATAATAACAAAATATGCTTATTTTGAATTTCATTAAAAAAATATCACATCAATCAATAAAGGAAAAAACTTTTACCAAAAGCAAAAGATAAAAAAAAAAAAAAAAAAACAAAAAGTTGTGATTATTGATGAATGATGTTTTTCAAATGGGACCCTTCTTCGTTGATACGGACTCACACGCACCTTGGTGGATTCTTTTCGACTAAAAGCATAACAGCCCAAGTCCACCGTTAGTAGATATTGTCATCTTTGACTTTTCTTGCTTCCCCTAAAAAATTTTAAAATGCGTCTGGAAGAAGTTTCCACACTCCACACCTTTATCAAGAATGTTTCGTTCTCTCCGACCGATGGGATCTCACAAAAAGGTTCTTCAACATCCACCGATAATGAACTAATTTTGGTCTTTTCTATAACAAAAGCTGTAAATAAACTCAGGTTCATGAAATAAGAGGAAGCAAAACTTTTGACCAAGTGCTGTTGCTAGATTATCTAGAAGATCCATACTGGATTTGAATGAAAAAAAACAAGACTAATACAAGATAGAACATCGGCCAAGAACTTACAGTCTTTGCTCCTCGAACACTGCTGCACATCTTAATGGTTTCTGGATCTTGGGCATGAGGGGATTACTCAGTCCAGCTTCACAGAAGAGAACAAGTAATGCACGAACCAGAACGACGAGAGGAATCCAACCGTTCCAGTTGTGAACATGATTGCAAGAACCATGAAGAGTGAATAACCAAGGTAGAGAGTGGCTGAGACGGGTCCGCTCAAGCTCTTGAGATCGAAGATGAGATAGTTAATCGAGTACAAGAAGATGTATAAGGCAACTGAACCAGAAGCAAAGAAAGACTTCCACCACCATTTCCAGTCTTCCACGCATAGATGCATATAGGTGAGAACCAGAGATACCTCAGCACAAATGACAACAAGAAGCACAAGCACTATGAAGAGAAACCCGAAAACGTAATAGACACGACCCATCCAGAGGCTAGACATGATAAAGAAGAGTTCGATGAACAAGGTGCCGAAAGGAAGTGTGCCAGCGCCTAGGACTAAAAGCCATGATGGGTATTTCTGGGGCGGAATTTCCCGTGGGATTTGATTGGTTCTAACAGGATACTCAATGTGAGGTGCCTTGGCACCAAAATACCCACCAACAAGAGTAAGAGGGACTGATATACAGAACCACAGCAAAAGTAGGATAACGAAGAGCGAAAATGGAATCGCTCCCGTGCTTTGACTACCCCATAATAGAAAATTCAGTATGGTAAGAATTAGAAAGGCAATGCCTGGGAAGAAACAAGCAGCCTTCCATGAGACTGAAACCCATCCTCTGTGGTCACCACAACAGATCGTTCTCCAAAGACGTACAGCGACATAACCTGCTGCAACACCGAGAATCATATAGAAAAATAGCATACCTGTAATAAGCGTTCCACGGGATGCTGGGGACATGAACCCAAGAGCAGCAAACAATATGGTCACAATTCCCATCCCTAGAAGCTGAACCCCATCACCAACCATTATACACAAAAGTGCAGGATTGGCTGGAGCACGGAAAACATCCCCCACAACAAGCTTCCAACCAGATAACTCCTCGTTCATCTGCGCTTGAGCCTCCTTGTCAAGCTCCTCATAACGTGTGAGATCTCGTCTAACAGTCCTCAAGAAAATTACAAGAACAATACCGGCGAGAAACGTTATCACCATTAAAGAGTTCAAGATTGAAAACCAATGAACTTTTGAACCCTCCATCTTCAAATACGCATCCCATCGGGATGGCCACTTGATGTCACTCTCTTCAAATGTAACCTCATACGTGAACACTATAGATTGGCCTTTCTTAATTTGCATTGATACACTAGCAGGGTCACATGGAACAGGATTTGGATACTTTTCATACATCTTTAAGTTCTTAACTAAGTCCACATTGTGCAAAGGGCTGCAGGGTACAACCTCAAATCCAACAACCATATATCCTGGAACATCTAGTTCCTGTTTACTGACTGTTGGGATCACACCTGCAGCATCACCAGTTCCCATTATGCTCGCAACATTCGTCTCCTCGTATTTGTGAACAAGAACCTTAAATTTCAAATGGTTAAAGACATAGTAGGAGCCCTTGAGATTGATTCCTACAGGGTATCCTGTCCAACGCAATGGATATCCTTCTTTCTTGGTATACCGGATTGCCGGTAAATTGTCCAGGATCAAGTTCACCTGATACATCTCATCAATCCTCTCCTTTAAGATCTTAAACTGATCATCAGTCAATGGATCTGTCTGGCACAAGAACACATCTGTCTGATTCTTATACATCTTAAACAGATACGGCGAATTCTCAATCCGATCCCCCATAAGAACCTCACCAAGATTTTCAGCACTATCCTTAACGCCCCCTTGAGGTTTGCAAAAAGGCAAACTATAATAGCTAAATGGCATTTCAGTATCGATGGAGGTTATGGAATTAACCTTCACCGACAGTTCATCGCCCACAACATGTTTGAGAGGGTAACTCCCCGGAAGATAAAACCCATATCCAGATTGAAATATCAAGCACACGGTTAAAACCCAGACCCTAAATCCACCCCAAAACTCCATTGTTGAAGAGTACGAGCTCGATTAGAGTCAGATCTAGAAGAATCACATCAAAAAGTAGATAACAGAACAGTAAAAAAATTACGCCATCTCTTAATTTCACCGAAAACCAAACAAGGAAATTCACATAACATATAATTTCCAACATGAAATAAGAGAATAAGGGATGAAAATCCAGGAACGAACGAAAGAATGAACTTCACTGACCTGAGACATAGAAAACTGGAAGGACGATCTCCGGCGGAGGAAGGAAATTCGCGGCTGTAGCTGCCTATACCGCGAGTTCTCAAATCGAGAAATAGTTGACAATTCAGTATTGCAATGCGAGAAGGATTTGGATCTTTCCCGGCGTGTTTATGCAACGGTGACTGGTGAGGGCGAAGTCTAGAAGTCGTGGCCAATCTCTCCAAATGACCATTATGTCCCCTCCAAATTCCAAAACCCCTACTTGTAGCTCATTACTAATATTCACTTTTCTTCATTGTTAACTTTCAATAAATTAAATAAAAATAATTACGTGTGAATCATTTAAATAATTTTAATATTAATAAAAACTAATTTAATTACGTTTTATTTAAATTAATTAATAAACACGGGTGGGTGATTTAGACGTAAACTAATATTTTCATATTAAGTTTCAGACCTCAATCACCCTCTTTAGTAATCTCGTGGGGCAGAAATTGGAACGGTAAAAATTCTCAAATTCTGTTCTCGCTCGCCCGATATGGGAGAACATGTCTTAAGTGGTTGAATTATGTTCAAATTGGTTATATAACACCATATGATATTTTAGAAATGGGAAAGGATTCCCATTTCGAGGTATATTTGCATCAACAATCACTTGAAGCCAAAGGAACAGAAAACCTCGTAGAAAAGGCAATTGGCGGGTGATGATCGTCGCCTTCCCCATCGAAACCGTCGTCGAAATTGAGAGCATAGCTTTCAGGGTCATACTGAAACCTGTTTTTCCTCTGTTTTTTCCTCTTAAAAAAGCCACCCATTTTTCTGATGAAGTTCTTCCATCTGGGTCCACCCACCATTTCTGAAACCTCCTTCAACTTCTTCAATTTCCTCACCATCCAAGACTCCTCTTCCCAGCCCTGTTGCCGCTGCAGAAGACTTCTACCTTCGTAATTACCGTTCCGATTGAACCCGAATAGCCGAAAACAGCCACACCCATTTGAGGGAACGGCCTCGTCGATGTCCTGAAGGTCATCCTGTTCCCGTGGTCTGGTTGGATGGGTCGCCATGGAAGAGAGAGGGCAGAGGTTCTAAGTAAAGTGGGATTGTGGGGATGGAGAGCTCTGTTGGGATATGGGGTTTGAGGAAGCCATTGAAGGGCAATGGGTCCTTCGTTCCATTTTGATTCTCCTCTGTGTTAGCCATTGAATGCGTCTAAACATGAGTTTATATGACGTCGACGGAAAGTTTGCCAAAACCCCATTTCCCAAGTTTTGTACTTTCCCTCCAAATAAAATATTAAAAAAAAAAAAAACATATTTTTCATAGATAAGACCGTCCTCTCCCTTATCTAAGGTCAATGCATTTAATTAATTTTCTAACACAAAAATATAAACATTTGAATTAACTGTTCCAAACGCACAGGCCACTACCTTGGTGTGGTTGTGAACACTATGAATCAAAAACTAGTCGATGAAGAAGCTATCTTAAAGGACACAACACGCCGCCCTACCGACGAGACCTAGGAAGGCAACCTGATTGGGACAAAGAATCCATAGTACCTGAAACCCCACGGACTAAATATTCATTGAAGCAGAGAAGGATGTCTCTTCTGCAACTAAAAAAATAAAAACAAAGCTGATTTGACTCAGACACAACAACCCAACCTAACCTAATAATAGAAGATAAACAATAAATTAACTAATATAAAAAATAATAAAATTTAATAAATATGTCCTTGCTATTCTAGATTATAGAAGAAAGAAAAAACATGGCGTGTCATCATGTCCCTATCTATGCTCATTTCATATTCATAATCTATCATTTCAAAAGGGAAAAAGCCGGCAACAATTTGTTGTCCAAGCGTCAACTGGATGAACGGCCAAAAGGGAGAGCCAATTTCAGAGCAATTCTGTCAACCATATCACTGCCAAGTGCCACACACATATCAACATGTTTGGAACAAATACAAACATATCTTTAAGATCCCGACTGACTGTTTCTTATAGTTCTTAGGTTCCGGGTTAGGAAAAGAACAAGGCCGAGCAGAAAGAAGTGGGTTGTTTAGAGGAGAGAGCAATGATTTTATGAAGAAAAACAGAAACAAAACAAAAAAAAACACTACTACCATGGTCTGCTACCTCCACCAAATTTGGATCCTATCAGCTGCCAGGTTTAGTAACGCCTATGGTCGGATTACCTTTGCTTCCCACTCATCAAAGGAGAATGTCAAACAAATTTGGGGAACAAAAAATGCTAACAAATTAGGCATAATCTAAGCAGCTGCTAACTGAAAAGGGGATATGCATCCATCGCTAACTACTCTGCCCTATCTATCTATATCTCTCTTTGTTAGTAGTAAAAAAAACAATCCAATATCTACCCAATCCCAAAACTAGAGAAACGTACTTCCATTTCGCGATTCTGAAACATAGGCAAAGAGGAAGGGGCCACCAGAGAAGCAAATTGTCACACCTGAACATGGAGATGAAGTTGGGTGAAGAGAGCTACTGCTGCTGATTGGGTACTTTCGGGGGAACCTTAGCAGCCATGGAGCGCAATTCATGTGCAATTTCAGTGAAGCTTGGCCTCTCTGATAGTTCTGATGACCAGCATCTCTCCATCAGTGACCTCCATTCTGGATCACAAGATTCCGGTACTTCCGGGCGCAATGTGTTGCTTACTATGCCACCTGAATTTTCGATTCAGAAAAATTTCAATGATTTTTTTTTTTTTTTGTTCAACATGATCGAATGTATTTATCTTAACTCAATGCTTAGGTTGGTAAATTTTTTACTAATAATAGAATAAAAGGCTTACAGAATTATATGATATGAGATGACATGAGAGGCAGATATCAAGGATTTACCTATGATAACCCCATAATGCAAATTTGCATAAGGTTCTTCTCCAGTGAGGAGCTCCCACAAGACGATACCAAAGGAAAACACGTCAACCTATGAAGACAAGTATCGAATCATCTATCTAATTTCACACGTAATACAAGGGCAAACTACTGCAAGGAGTGACATGAATGTATTAGCATACCTTCTCGGACACCATATTGCTGCTCCCATTCAAAAGCTCGGGTGCCATCCAAGGAAGTGTTCCCCGCACACCACCTGATATCAATGTCTGACGTTTCACCTTGGATAGGCCCAAGTCGCCAACCTTGAGGCACAAATAGCAGCAGCATCAGCCCAGCTCTTCCAAACATTTTATATTTAAAATTCAAAACTGGTACTTTTCTTGGAAGGAGAAACAAAACATTTTGGGCGATGAGAATCTGCTATTATCAGCAAAACAACAAACCTTGCATATTGGGCGATGAGGATCTCGAAGGTTAACGAGCAGATTATCACTTTTTAAATCAAAGTGCACTATATTCTTTCTGTGCAGGTATTCCATACCAAAAGCCACATCCATAGCAATCAAGAGGCGCTTACGCTTGTCAAGACTCCTGCATCAATGGTATTTTATGACTTAAAATAAGGTGCAGATACGTTGTACTACAACTAGTTTCAAACAAATTAAACATATGAAAGGAGAAAACAATTGTTACTTTTCATTCTTCAACAAAGCATTTCTGAGCGAGCCATTAACCATATATTCTGTTACTGTTGCCACAGAGCCTCCAGGACCATCAAGCACAATACCGTAAAAAGCAACCACATTTGGGTGGTGCAAATCAGCAAGCTTATTTGCTTCATTCCAAAAATCTTCCCTCTGGTACAAAACAAAAAATTATACGGGACTTGATTAAAGAAACCAACAACAAACATGAGTAACAAAAGAAAAGAAAAGCCAATTACTTAAAAAACAACCATGCGATCTTGTTCAGAAGGCTTCCCAGCAAAACACCTATCATTGATTCGTTTGATAGCAACATCAGTCCCTCTCCATTTTCCATGGTAAACGGTGCCAAAGGTGCCAGACCCCAATTCTCTTAGTTCTTCAAGGTCACTATTCTTTATTACCTGAAAAAAAAATGCCAAGATTACAGGAAAGTTTAACACATAAGGAACATCCTTAAGGTTGAAAATGGAAACCATGTATTACCTGCAAGTGGCTAAAGCCTTCTGACATTGGAAAACCGAGATTTGATTTTTCTGAATGTCTTGTCCTGACATCCTGGGCAAAGAGGGAAACAGAATAACTATGACAGAAGATATGACATATTCAAGTTTGTGCCACTTGAATAGCTAAACTCAATATTAGATTTAGGCTGCGAACCCACATCATTATTTTGAACATCTCCTTCTGTGCTAATCTCACAAACTGAATCACTTTTTTCATGCAAGTCGGAGTTGGAGGATTGAGCTGACTGAAGAACAGAAGCAGCTACACCCTCAGCAACAGCTTGAAGATCTTTCTTAATTTGTTCCTCTGAAGAGCCTACTTGAAATTATATGAAATTAATCACACCCACAAATATGAAAATAAGAAGATAATCGATATAAATGCACTAAAAAATACAAAGACTTTTGTCAGACTGAACAGTTGAGAAATTGGTACCCTTGTTTGACTTAACCAATGGGTGACAGACTCCATCATCCATAAATGCTTCCATTTTTAGTTCACCAATATTCCTGAAAGGACTTTCTGTCAAGGGTTCCCTGGTGGTAACAGCTTCACTCCCTGGTTGAATTTTATTTGGTCTAGGAGGCAAAAGATGATCATCATGCTGTAAGTTCCAAGGATCCTGATTGCTGAAGAGTGAATTTGCAGTGTCCTGCACATTTCCAGTCCTGGTAGGCAAAGATTCAGATTCAACATCACCAGATACCATCCTAGATTCAAATAGAGAAGTGTCCTCCTTCCACTCAGCAGAAACTGGGACTTGATTATTCGTATGTTCAGTCTTCGTGTCAAATAACTGGGGATTTCTGCTAAGACATACTTTATTGGACTCAACAGGAGGTTGTATCCCATTTTCTGATTGTGTTAATGTTCCAGGATAGCCCCCGACAGGAGGTTGTGCCACTTCACTGGACTCAACAGGTCGTTCACTCATCAAATAGGGAACCTCTGATGAAGAGCAAGCAAAAGTAGTTGATTTCACATGATTTGTGTCGAGAACCACTATTGGCTTTACAGAGTTGTTATCAAGTAGAACTTTTATCTCAGAGACTGGTTGTGAACAGCTACCAAAATTGTCCTCCTTCCTAGTTCTTTCAGTGGGTGATTTGCAGTGATCCAGATTAGGACAAATATCAGTTGGGCATATACTTAAACTTTCCAAATTTCCAACAATTGGTCTGAGATGGTCGTACCAAATTCCAGTGTGGGTAGCATTTTGATTTGGAATAATGCCATGAGGACTATTAGAATAAACCTTTGGATTTTCATGACTGCTGTACTCTGAAGCAAGAATAGGAGCACCTCCAAAGCAAATATTGTGTTTATCCACGTCTAAATTTGGATGGAACCGATTCTCTACAGCTGCATACTGGCGCTGGAGAGTATCAACTTCACCAGGCTGAGGAATCTGTTCTACAACAGCAACATGGGGTGACGGAAAATCACCTTGCCTCCCAAGAGCACCCTGCAGAGCTGAGATCTTACTATGATCAATATTAGGTCGATCTTTTAGTGTGTTGTCGTTCTCATGTTGACTGCCCATATGATGTGGGAAGCCAATAGCCTCCACTGAAGATTTTTCAACTTCTGGATCCATGGGATTAAATATCCTGGTTTGCATTCCAACACCATGTTCAATAGTTTGTTGCCCCAAAGCTCCAGTTTCTGTAATATTTTTCATTGGATGGGCTGCTAAATGATCTTCAGGGTGGTGACTGTAATACGAAAATTTTGAATCAGATACAGGGTTTGTCAAATTTTCTCTTTTATCCTGCAACGTTGAATTGGAATGAGCATGTGGCACTGCTTTCTGGCAGAGGTAACAGTCATCCAACCTCTTGATTTTGTCAGCAAAAGTTACCTGATGTTGGGATACCAATTCATCAGATATAACTGTCTGATCAGACCATGGTACATGATGTAAACCATATCCAACCTCCACTGATACTGGAGGAGCTGGAATCTGGCGTGAGTTGTAGCCTTGTTCTGCAGATAGCTGGACAAACCTTGGACCAGATGTGCTTGCGTTGGAAAAATATTCCGGTTGGGATTGTGGATATTGCACCAACGATTGATAGGTATTAGGCATAATACTGAGGTTAGAAGAGGGAGCCATCCTCATGTGAACTGCAGGGACAAACTGATGAGGGGTTATTCCAAGAGTATTTGGCTGTTGTATAAACATAGACCCAGATGTCCCAAGATGATGAGAATTTGAAAAGCCTAGCTGTGGACGAAATTGTATAAAGTCCACACATGCTGCTTGGCGAGGATCAACAGTAGGCTGCAATTGAGGCACAGGTGGAGGAAAGCCAATATCTGGTTGCTGTTGCATCAGAGTAGCAGGCACCGACCTTCCTAACTCCGCCTCTGGCTGGGAAGAACTTTCAGGAGGAACAGAGTTAATCACAGGAATACTTGATGGAACAGCCGAGGCATCTACAAAAACTGCAGAGACAGTATCTACCTTCACTAATCCAGGGCCAATAGCAACTGAAGTACCTAAATTTCCTTCAGGTACGGACAATGTTGTGGATGGAGGCTCACCCACAACCCCTAGATCGTTATATGAGATATCCATTGCCTCGGTCGCACTTAAGTCAGAATTCTGAGTTGAGGTAGCACTTGTAAAGCTCTCTTTCCTTGTAATACGGCCACCTACGCCATCAAATATCGTATTCACTGTTTCAACATATCTCTGCCCACTATCGTGTACGTCGCCAAATTGCACCATACCTGCAGAGTCAAGTTCTGAAGCAGAGAACAAAAACATCCTCAATTTAGCAGATCCATCTGAAGACCTCTCAACCAGCTTCTCATACTCGTCCATCATATTATCAAGATCATCAGGGCATGAAACAGATACTAAAGCGTCAAGATCCTCATCAGGGAGCTGATACTTTATAACCACAGCCTGCCCACAGGTATCAACCATCTTTCGCACAAACTCATTGAAAGTCACATCTCTTCTAACACTTATAATCCTTGTTTGACCTCCAATATATCTCAACATACCATCACTCGGTCTTGGAAAAATCTTGCCACCGAAACTGCACATAAACTTAACTTTCTTTTTCGGAACGGAACTGTTTCCCCCCTCCTCTCTCACTTGATCAACCGCATTCCCACCAGCTGAATTCCCCAAGGGGGAGCTAAATCCAGAGGTGCTATCACTACTGATATGATCACCGTTGGCAGCAACCTTATTGCATAAATTGGTACTATCCCCAGACCCCATTACGATATTATTGCTCGAATATTCCATGCCACCTCCCCCATCTCGATGACTCAAATTTGTACTATGATTAATCCCAACTGTCATGCAACTGCTAGCAAACTCAATAGCATTGGCACCACCACGATTGCCCCAGGCATTCAGGTTCGAGCAGTAACCAAACCCTGCCGCAGGAACCATTGCAGTGTGCGCGAGAGGAGGAGGCATTCGAGGGCACCAAGCCGTAACGCCAGTAACCACATTTCCATATCCTCCCTCAATAAATCCCATATCGGAGACATTTCCCTTACAAGGAACGGGTACAGAGTCTGTGTTAGCAATGTCGCAGGGAAGCTTGGGGGCAACCCATTGGGGATTACGCCCAGCAGTAGCAACCGGCGTTAAATGGGGATCTTCAACTAAAGTTCTAGCTACATTTAAAGGCCGCAAGCCAGTGGGAATCGCGTTCTGATCAAATGCCATGAGTTTAGACCAAGTACCAAGCCGCTGAAAATGTAAATTTCAAAAACCAGTCAAAAACTAGGGTTCCAAATATCGTTCGTCTCCTATACTAAACCCTCAAAACACCTTAAAAACTCAGACAAACCCTAGTAAGAAAGACAAAACGGCTCTGTTTCCTCGGGCCAAGAGGAAATTACACTAACAAACAACTCACACGCCGAGATTGAGAGAGATAAAAGACAGAAAATCAGAATGGAGCAATCCAATCAGTCAGTGCTGCAAACAAAAACACTTCAAAAAGAAATTACGGTGAGAAGGATCTCGATTGAGCCGCAGTTGAGGGCTTCCGAAGTGCCTCCGTTGAGCTCCGAGTATTCCAGTTCTCTCTCTCCCTAATGCTCGCAGAGATTTCTATTCGGCTGATTCCATGAATGGTCGCAAAATGCAGTAGCAGAGTCCAAAATCCGCTGGCCGGATTCTATTTTCTCGGGAAATACAGTTGAGTGAAAGAGACGAGAGGCAATCTTATGTGCTTCCAGGGTTGGGTGCGCTGTTTATATATGTGCCAAATTTGGCAAATTAATTACCCTCCTTTTTTGCCACGTAAGCAACGGATCATGGGGAACTGGCACGTGGACGTCACATGCAATTTAAGCTCAACCACACCTCCTCGTCAAAGGAGGTTTAAAATGTCAATTGTCCATATCTCGTGATTTTTAGAAAATAATAAATAAATATTTTATACACTCACTAATAATAATATTACATCTTATTTTAATATTTTATTAAATTTTTATATTACAATAAAAAAATGTCAATTCAAATCAAAGTGTTCCGTTTATATGATGTGACTCGTCGTTAATTTTAAAAAGATCTTAATGTTAATATATTGATAATAAGTAAATTATCTGCCTATATTTTAATATTATTGTATAAAGTTTATGAGTATTTTTTAGAATTTTTTTTAGTTCGAGGATATTGATGAAATTTTTGAAACAAAAGTATTAACGGTTTCCCTCCCAGACGAACGATAAAAAAATATATATTTTTATCTATTTTTTAAATTTTAATTGTATTATTGAAACTTTATGGATATTTTTAGACAAAATACAGAGTTTAAGAATATTTTATTAATTTAACTTTTTATCAACTATACAATTTTATCGATTGTGCATTTAAACCGCTTTAGTCCACAAGAATTAATTTGTTAAAATATGCAATAAATATTCATTATGTTTACTCTATTTTTTAAAATTTACACGTCACGTTCGAGTAAATTTATTATGTTTACTCTATTTTTTAAAAAATGCAATAAATAATATGTTAAAATATAAAAAATTAAAAATACAATTTAATCTATATATATTCATTATATTAGTCCTTATACTTTAAATAAAATTTAATTTATTTATAAAAAAAAATTAGCAAAATTATTTAAATAATAATAATAATTTTGAGGGGAAAAAAAAGTGTTAAATTAAATTTAAAACTGATCCAAAAAGTAAATGATTAGATTACTCATAATTTGGTATTTTTTGAATGGATGGTTTCTTTCCGGTGGGCCTAACGAACCCGACTCTGGTAATTTCATGGCACCTTCGCGCCTCCTTCCGCGCACTTTCCTCCTCCTTCCAGTGCCGATGGAGTCAATGCAATCAATCTGTACTTAATCACTTCTCTCTCCGCCTCCTCAGCCAGAAAAGCCCTAGATCCGTGCAGAAATTTCAACTTTCAAGGTTTCCAAAGTTTCTCCAATGGCCGGAATGCTTCCTGGTGTAGAGTGTGCTCGAAGAAGACGATGTCATCAAAACAAAGTATGGTCAGATTCACCGCACATCGCCGCTCAGGCCTTAACCAGGAGATCTGTTCTCTGCTTGTACACCAGCAACCACGAAACGCTCCTCGCTTCAAATCCATCTCTGGTTCGTAAATCGCATCTCGTTCTGTCGATGAAATCCGAGTGTATTGATTCAATTGATTCGATTTTAACTGATAATTTTGCAGGAAAGAAGCCTGTTAATCGAGGCGGATGAAGACGATAAACTGGATGGAAGTGCGAGAGAGGCGAAGAGGAGATTGGACGAGCGATTGAGAACGCAGAGGAAATCCAGGTACTGAAAACGATAACAACACAGATCGATTAACACTTCGTTTGATTTAATCTCAATCATAAAGATCGATTCCTGGTTTTCCATGGTTCGAAATAATGAAATATTCACGATCTGATGCAGAAAGTTCAATTGGACAAAGTTGAATTGGACAAAGTTGAATTGGACAGGCGTGGAGCAAGACAAGTGCGGCCAGTGCTGGTGAAGAACACGACTTCATTTCAGTGGATCTGTTCTTCTTCTTCTTCTTCTTCTTCTTCTTCCATGGTGCTTTGTTTTTTCTACACCGATGCCGGTTCGGATTATGTATATTTCAAATTACATCTCATAAACACGGCTTAAAATTCATAAAAACTCAAACTGTTCATGTTTGGATTCATTAATTATTTATGAATCTATCAATTGTATGTTGGATGATGAAATGGATGATGAAACCGCTAATTTAGAGAATGATTTCAAAGAATACTCTCTCAATTGGTGTGAGGTTTTTTGGGTTGGAATACTCTCTATTGGTGTGAGACTTTTTTGGGGAGCCTAAAGCAAAGTCATGAGAGCTTATACTCGCTCAAAGTGGACAATATCATACCATTGTGGAGAGTCGTGTTTATCTAACACGATGTCGTACCATTGTGGAGAGTCGTGTTCATCTAACATAACAATATCATACCATTATGAAGAGTCGTGTTTATCTAACATGACAATATCATACCATTGTGGAGAGTTGTGTTCATCTAACATGACAATATCATACCATTATGGAGAGTCGTGTTCATCTAACATAATAATATCATACCATTGTGGAAAGTCGCGTTCATCTAACATGACAATATCATACCATTATGGAGAGTCGTGTTCATCTAACAATATATTTCTAACATCAATAATTGTTTTCGATCAATTAACTATATTACAATTTGAAATTTGTGCTTAGTTTTGACGGGATTCAAAGACAAAAATACTAAGCCCTACAAATATCCTATAACTATACCATATTTGTAATTCTCTTTCAACATTTTTGCAGAAAAAAACGACGATTATCTAAATGTTGAACGCTTCTAACAAAAAATTAAGAGAGGTTCTACCATAAGTATTAACGAATCATATTCAGTTACATTTTTTTTTTACTTGAACAAAGTGTATATCTATATATTACATTAGTTGTCTTTTACACCGTTCTTCATTCCTATAAACATCGAATATCAATATGGCCACTCGAAACAATAACAAAAAAAGAAAAAAAAAAGTTTTATTAATCAAAATAGTTGAGAAATTAAAAGGGAAAAAGATCCTAATGTCCAATTTTCACAAGACTGAACATAAAATAGCTTCTTAAACAATGAATAAACATATAATTTTTATTATATATTCATTTTTATAAAAATAACAGAGGATTTAAAATGTTTAGAACTTAATAAAATGAGACATAATAATAATAATTAATTAGAAAATGCATCAGATTTTGTCGTAGAATCACAAAAGCTATATTAACTAAATTTTATATAAAAAATGATATTATTTAAATTAATTAACTAATATAAAATATGTAAAAAATTAGAATTGGGAAAATTAATTTCGAACAAAATTATTAATTCATAAATGAAAATTGAATAAATGTAAAATTTAAATCTGTATTATTCAGATGAGTTGAGGTGGAAAATGTTTATTTAATTTTATTATTGGGAAAAAATGTAAGATTTAAACCCTTGCAAGCAAAAACCTCCCTTTAACATAATTTTCCAGAACCGCCGCCGCCGCCGCTGAGGTTCATTTTCTTACCGTCGTCCACCGTCTCTCAGCCCAGTCCTGCGAATCTACTCGACCGCTTTCGTTTTCTTCATTTCAACTGTCTTATAGGTTTTTGCAACTTAGTTCCAGCAAAGATGCAACGATCTTCATCTCCACCTTGGTGATTTTGTATGCTAATCGGAGCTGCGAGAGGTTATCCTGTGCACTTTCACCGAAACTTGGTAAAGCTGATTGATTATAAATCTCATAAACTTCTTGGCTCGCTTTTTTAATCATCATCGTACATAATTTGATCAACTGAGCTTCCATTTCATTTGTTCTCTTAAACCTATTTTCGTTCTCACACCACCGCCGTCCTTTGGAACACCCAATGGCAGTTCGTGATAATTTTTTTTCTGACTTTACCGCCTAATCTTTGAAGTGGTTTTGGCTATTAGTGTTTAATTCTCTTGGGGAATGAGTTTCTTATGATTGATATGCTATGAATATATCATACACTGTAGTTTTCTGGGTTTAATTGAGTGCGTTTGGTTATTGCTGCTGAATCTTTTGGGGGAATGCATCCGTTCTGCCACCATTTTCTGTTCTGGGGTATTGTCATGTTCTTAATTATATATTACTCTTTTCGGTAAAGGTAAACTGTTAATTGAGATTGCGTTTATTAATGTTTCAGAGAACTTTTGGTAAGACATCTGCGTGGTCTACTTAACCGGCTATAGACTGTGTAGTGGCTAAAAGCAGTGGAGAGAAGGAAATATATCTGCAACGGTTTGTAGATTGTCCAGTTGGTTGAAGACTTTGCATTACCCCGCATTAGGATTTCGTGTTCTCCTCTCTAGACCACAGAAGGAAAAGCCAATAACGATTCACTTCCATGAATTGTTTGTTGCTCGCTGTGAATAATCCCATCAAGCTCAAACTAGTCAAATTCGCCTCAACTGCAATTGCTCAACTAAACCCATGTTCTTTTTCACACAGTGACGGTGAACAAAGTACCACCTTCTTCCACACAACTTTGCCTGTTCAATTTAACCCGTCAAAGGTGGTCCAAATACTAGGAAGTCTCCGAAGGGAGCCCAACATTGCCTTTTCCTTTTTTCGCGAATTGGAGGATCGGGGCTTTCAACATAACATCTCTACTTATGCAGCTCTTATTAGGATATTGTGCTCTTGGGGTTTGGAGAGAAAGCTTGAATCTCTGTTCTTGAATCTCATTGACTCCAAGAAAATGGAATTTGATGTCTTAGATTTGCTTGAATCCCTTAATCAAGGGTATGCGGTCAATGGCTCATTCACTCGAGCATATGATGCCTTAATCAAGGCTTATGTCAGTGTTAGCTTGTTTGATAGTGCTGTGGATTTACTTTTCCGGTCAGGACGAAAGGGATTTGTTCCACATATTTTTACTTGTAATTATCTCTTGAACCGCCTTATCAAGCATGGGAAAATGAATATAGCTCTAGTTGTGTACAAGCAGTTGAAGAGGTTTGGTTTCCATCCTAATGATTATACTTATGCTATCGTAATAAAAGCACTTTGTAAAATGGGTAACATGGAAGAAGCTATATATATTTTTGAGGAGATGAGTGAAGCTGGGGTGGTTGCAAGTGCCTTTGCTTATACTGCATATATTGAAGGGTTGTGTACCCACCATTGTTCAGCTTCGGCGTATCAGTTGCTACAAGCATGGAGAGCAGCACAAGCCCCAATAGACGTGTATGCTTACTCTGTAGTAATTCATGGATTTTGTGAAGAGATGAAAATAGACGAGGCAGAAAATGTTTTTCTTGAAATGGAAAAATATGGAGTAGTTCCAAATGCACAAACTTATGGTGTGTTGATCAATGGTTATTGCAAGAAGTTGAAGTTGCAAAAGGCCTTGTCTCTTCACAGTCTCATGTTGTCAAAAGGTATAAAAACAAATTGTGTGATCGTCAGCTCTATCCTACAATGCTTGCTTAGGATGCAAATGTGTTCAGAAGTAGTGAACCAATTTAAAGTATTTCAGGGTAAGGGTGTGTATTTTGACAAGGTTGCATACAATATTGTTCTTCATGCCTTATGTGAACAAGGAAAACTGGAAGAAGCTATGGAGTTGTTAGAAGATATGACAAGTAGACAGATCCAGATGGATGTCGTGCATTATACAACAATGATTAAAGGCTTTTTGGTCCAAGGAAAAATTCATGAAGCAATGGTAATGTTTGAAAATTTGAAGAAAAATGGTATTGAGCCTGACACCATCACTTATGATGTGCTTGCTGCTGGATTGTCTAGAAATGGTCTTGTATCCAAGGTGCAAGGACTTCTAGACTACATGGAGGAACATGGTTTGAGAGAAGACCCTAAGATACTCAATCTGGTAATTGAAAATTTATGCGTAGGAGGCAAAGTGAAAGAAGCGACAGAGTTTTTCAATAGTTTAGAAGTAAAGACGGTAGATAACTATTCTGCCATGATTAATGGGTATTGTGCAGCCAACCATACGAATGATGCATATGATCTTTTTGTTAATTTGTCCAAGAAAGGAGTTTCTATTAAAAAAAGTACTCTCTCTAGGCTAGTTAGTAGCCTTTGCATGGAAGATTCTAGCGGTAGAGCTATTAAGGTGATAAAAAAACTTCCAATTATGGATGTGGAGGCTAATGAAATTGTGTACAATAATGTCATATCTTCCCTCTGTCGGGTGGGAAATATGAAGAGAGCTCAAAGTTTATTTGATTGCTTAGTCTGTGCTGGGTTAACTCCTGATCTCATCACTTACACAATGATGATAAAGGGTTATTGCAAGATTAATTTCTTGAGAGAAGCTTATTTGCTTCTGTGTGATATGAAGAATCGAGGGAGGAAACCTGATATTGTTATCTATACAGTTCTGCTAGATGGTCTATTTAAAACCCGACTACAAGAGTTTTGCTCCTCAGTAGATTTAAGGGGAGAAAAGCAAGAAATAGCTTTTGCTTCCACAATTTTTGATGAAATGAAAGACATGAAGATTACTCCAGACATTATCTGCTACACTGTACTGATTGATGGGTATTGTAAAATGAACAACCTTAACGATGCTGTTGTCCTCTTTGAGGAAATGGTCGATCAAGGAATTGAGCCTGATATAGTGACTTATACTGCCCTACTGTCCGGCTGTTGTAGAAGTGGAGATACAAAGAAAGCCGCAACTCTAATGTCTGATATGCTCTCTAAGGGAATTCTCCCCAGTGAACAGTTTTCATCTCTGTTGCATCACAATTCTCTAAAAACCAAGAAAATGCGACTATGAACACAAACACTTTACTGAATAACAGTGAGTAACATTAGTCTCGACCTTTTCCAATGAAGTATAATGCTTCATCCTTGTACATAATGCCGTCCACTTTATTTTATTTTCATTGGCTTGCTTCCTTCCTTATCTCCTCTCCTCCTTTGGAGTTATACAAGTTCTTTATACTTTGCAGGCCCTGGATTCTCCACAACTGAAATCTACTTGAGCTATATGAAAGCCCTCTACTTTGACCCAAAGATGAAGCATTCAATTGTTTGGAGTTGTTGCAATAATGGGCTTAGAAATTAAAACCTACAATATCAAGGTTTTTACTTTGTTATTTTCCTTCGCTTCAAGACTCATTCTTTCAAATTACTTTCTTATAATCTTAAACTGAAATATAACTTGGCAATAACAACAACTTACTTGAAGTAATATATTTGTAAGGACTAATTTGAAGTATTCCTGAACTTGTGAATGATGTTGGTAATGGGGATTCTGTCCATTATTTTATGCATTTATGGTACCAGTAACCACAATTGAGGATCGGTTAAAAGTTAAATCTCTCAAACGTTGAACTTATTGCTTTGCCTTGCAGTTTCTGTGAGTGGCAGTCTCCTCTGCTGTAGATATGGTGCAGATGCTATCCAGAGCTGTAAGTTCCAAATGTTTTTTTTTTGTTTCCATTAATCATTTATGTTTACAACCTAATAGTTCTAACGATCCTGATGTCTTGATTCTGAACCTCAGATTTTCTTTTAAAAAAGGGCAACTGTAAATACCCAGAACTTTTGATGTTCTGGGAATGGAGAATCTGAGAAAGCTACTTTCAACTTATCACAGAACTCCAACTCATATCTCTTTTTGGCTTATCATATTGCTTGTTTTAATCATCAATATCATCATAAAGCTGCGAAGTTTTCACATTGGGGGGTTGACTTAAGGCTGAATTTAACGCCTAAGGAGTTGAATATTATGTCAAGTATTATTTCCTCATGTTTGTTTGCAAGCATTAGCTTGTTTTCATGGGATAAAGCTTGCTTCGGGTTATTTTAATAGGAGGGCTTAGATTGGAACTTGAGATTGCAAGGAGATCAGGTGTCTTCTTTAAGCATCACTTTGAAACTCCTGAATGATGCAAGGTTTTTGCTTGTAAACCCACTGATCTGCCTACTGACCCCAAAATCAATTTGAGTTCTTTAGATGAAAATCTTTTGGAACCCCTCAGAAGATGTATCATTCTGTTGTAGACTTGTGGGTTGCTTATTAGGAAATCACTCTCGCAGTATTACAAACTGAGGCAGTTTGTTTCCGATCAATGTTAACCAAATTTTGATGCGACTTACTTTGTCATGTGGAACATGTGGGGATATCGTTGTTGAAAAGCGGTGTTATCCATTAGAAAAGCTTGTAGTTTTTTACCCCCCACCAAATAGCAGTCTTTTTTATCCACTATCCATTGTAATTATTTGTATGTTCGCTGGCCTTGTATTCTTTTATTTTTTCTCAATGAAAGTTCAGTTTCATATTAGAAAAACAAAAAGCTACAGAATAATAATCTGAAAATTTCTTCCAGGAATTTTTCGTTCATACAATTTACTTCCAAGCTGCTCTATACAGCATACTTCAGTTCAGGAGATGACTGAGTTGTTCCCAGGGTACCCTAAAAAAGGAACCAAGGAGCTGAAGTGTTGTGTCAAGCTGCACTTCGTCTGTCTAAGATGCAGCTGATGTTAGTTAGCCTTTTATGCTGTTTTATAAGCTTATAAAAGCATTCTTTCATAACTTTTTTAGTACTAAATGTTAGGAAGAGGTAAGGTGCACAACAAAGGCCAGACGACCCGGGGTTCCTATTTCGGTATTGTGTGCAGTGAACCCGGTACAATGTGCCTTGACATTTGGGTACGTAGAGGGTCGTATACAAATACTCCTTGAAATTGATTGATATGATAGATGTCGCCAAATGGATCAATAATATTTCATGTAGGCTGGCGTCGCAACGGAAAACTGCACGATGGTGGTTTGTTCAATGGCAAGTTGACCACATCGAACATGATGATCACGAACCAATCAATTTGTGAGTACTCTCTTTAGTCTTGGTAGTTTATATATACAGTTATTTCGATTCATCTTCCTGGATTGGTAATATTGATTTCCATCATAAGAACAATTATCTTTTCTGGGGTCCGTGTTGATTATAGTCTAAGCTTCTGTTAAACTCTTCTCGAAGATAAACTAGCTGATATAACACGCATGTTCGTGCAAGCCCGACATGGAAATGCATTCATCATATGAGCCATTGGAGATTTCTTACAACTTGGTTGGTCTCAATATCTATATCCCCATTCTTTTCTGGAATCATGCAATGAGCTGTCTTGAAAAACGAATTGGTTTGAAATGAATCACATGGCTTTCAACTTGATACTAATGGACCATGTCGCATAGATGGAGCTCATATTTGCTGCAGATCAGAAGAGGTAACATATTGGTGCAGTTCTCTGGTTTTCACTTTGATTCTCGTACGAATCGTCGAAGAGAGGCCGAAAGTGCACCGTGGCTACACGAAAAGAACAACTATCATTGCTCTGGACATCTTTATCCATGTATTATGCTTAGCTTAACACCAATTATGTTTTGTATTGTGTTTCATCGTTGGCACAAAGGCCCACTTGGGATAAATAGATTTCTTAATTCAGCTGCATATTTCTTTTATTCCACTTCTTCCTTTATTCACTGTCATCTCAGCTTTTCCTTCGAGATCATCACTATTTCCTTTCCCGTTGGAGATGTGTATATATATATATATATATATATAGATATTTAAAAGGTTACCTTTGGAGATGTTTTGAACTAGAATTGTAATTGAATTTATTATTATTATTTTTTTTCTAATCGAATACATCATACCAAGCTGGATTGGTCAATAAGACGATCTATGAGGTTAGAATTGTCAAATTTTTCGTTCGATCATGTAAGAAGAATGGTATGGTATGATATATTTATTTTTTAAAAAAAGAAAATAGAATCAAAAGGAGAAGAAAGTCAAATTATGGGCCAAAAACAAACGGGTGAATTTACTGTTATAGCCTCCAAAGTCCCAACGGCTACTTTCTTGTGACCGTTTCCAAATCCCTCAATTCAAAATAACCTGAAACAGCTACAACTATACTGCAATTGACACTCGACAAGGACCCTCGAAAATCTCTTTACAAAAACACCCACCAACAACACACAAAGATCACTTCATCTTCTTCTTCTTCTCCTCACTGTTCTAAGAAAATGGTGTATTCTTACACACCCACTTACTATTCTTCTCTTCATGATTCAATCACCTCTCTCTGCAAGTCCATTCTTCCCTTCAGCTTCAAGAAACGATGCTTGCCGGCGGCGGACCAGAAGCTGGCGAAGCTCCAGTCTGATAACCTCAAATGGCAGCAAGATTCCTTCCACCAGATGCTCAAATTAATGGGTCTTCACAATGAAGGTATTCTAGCTGAAAATGAAGTTTCTGATTTCAGAACCCATTTGCTCGATACTCTGATCGCTTCACCGCCAGAACAAGAACACCAAGTTATATTGAGAGATAAGCTGTTGTTCTTGCAGGTTCGTAGTTCATAATGCTCTGTTTTTATGTGTGTGCTCTGTTTTAGAAACCAATTAACTTTATTGTGTGCTTGTTTTTATCAGGAGCTTCTTTATGCGAAATGCATAACAACAGATGAGTATCACTCTTCGAAGAGGCCTCTGCTTCAGAGATTAGCAGTTCAAGGGGCTGAAATTGAGGCCAGGGATGTGATTGTAGCTGACCCAAAAGAGAATTCGAAGGAGATTTTAGAAGAAGAATGGTCGATTATTGACTTGAGAGATGAAAACTCTTCACTAAAATCGAACTCAAATTCGAAGAACAGATCAAAGGTTATGTTGGGTATGAAACAGATCAGAGGAGCTGCGTCGGTTTTTAGTTTCGCGTCATCACAAAAAACAGAGAGGAACAGAAAAGAGAAAAGTATTTTTGAATCTGAAAATCTGTGTAATATCAGTGATACCCATTCGATTCTGATGTCGGAAAGTTCATCAAACAAGGAGATGAGTGGAGAAAAGGCAAAACGACGACCCTTTAAAGCTCTGTTTCAGGGCGGCAATGGCGGCGGTGGAAATTATGGTCCAGATTATGAAGAACGGATGAACAAATCTGGAAAAAAACAATGGGGTTTCAATGGGCTGAAGAAATGGAAACGAGACCAAACAGAGGATGAGACAGCTCCATTGCCACTCCATGAAAGATCCGACAGTGAAGCATTTTGGGGTTCTTCAAATTTAGCTCAGCTCGCAACGAGTCCAATTGGGGAAGGGCCCAACACTAAAATGATGAAGATGAAGTTGAATTCAAATGGGTCTCCATCGGATTTCTTCATCGACAAGGTAATGAACTGCTTCAACGGCGTTGGCCTGTCTGTAAATTTCAAGTTTTTGATTCTGTTCATCGTGTTCTAATTTTGTTTGAAGGTTTTAAGCGAGAACATAAAGAAAGAGCTTTCACGAATTCAAACAGAGCTGAACGACACAAATCCAAACCTTAAATTCTCGTAAGATCTTCAAAGATCATTGTTGCTGTCACTTTCCTCTGTTTTTGTTCTTCTTTTAAATCGTTTCAAATTCAGGGATGATCAAATTGAGGCCATTTCCACCAGGCTTCCGATCGACAAAGCCGACCTCAAGAACTTCTTCCCAAAGTAAGATCCAATCTTCATTTTATAAGTTCATGGTGCGATCATGGTGTGATCAAAGACAGTATTTTGATGAACTGTTGTTTTTTTTTTTTTTTTTTCCCTCATTAGATCATGGTGCGATCGTTATGGGGATGTAGTAATTGATGTTGTGAAGAAAGAGTTCAAGGACCATGTGGGAGAGATGGAGAATATGAGAAATGCAGCGAGCGAGAAACGACGTAATAGCAGCAATTCGATGAGATGGACGACGTTTGAAGACGACGAGAACTGCCATCCAAATCTCTTCAACAACGTAAACGATCCGATGAGATCCGATCCTGCCTATGAGAATCCATTTTGGAGACCAAGCACTGGTCTTTCAATGCTCAAGTAGTTGTTGTTCTAAGCAGAGACAGCTGACATTGCTGTCTCCCTGTCTCGGTTATCTGTTATCGACACAGTTCCTTCGTTTGGTGTCATTCCTGCCCTATTGTACAAGTGTTTGAATCATTCAAACCAAACTGCTTGTTCTAGATATATATATTCATTCAAATTCTTCTGAAACTGCTATACAATATGAATGCCTTACAAAATCAAAACATGGGGATCCAATTAATCCCCAAGTATTAACAGGAAAGGAAACATGATAATGAATGAGTGTTCTGTTTTTGCTATACAATACCATCAAATTGTTGGAATTTCGGGGTTTGAAACCGAACATTCATCATTCGAGCCTGCACGAACATCCCCTCTACAAAGCGGGCAGACTCTGTTAAACACAGCGAAATTAGGAGATGAGTTGATGAATAAAATGATATAAGGAGAGAGCAGTGATTGTCGTCGAGTATATGTGTGACATACCCGTGAATCTCCTTCAACCATTTATCGACACACAACATATGGTACTCGTGTCGGCAGGGAAGGACTCTTATTTTATCGCCCTCTTCGTATTCAGCCAGGCAAATGTAGCATCTAACCAATTTTTGTAACACAATCCCAAATTAGAAACTAAACAAGTGATAAGCAAGTAAAACCATGGACTCAGCCAGCCAGGCAAATGTATTTAGTTAATGGAAAGAGGAAGCCTACTGCTCAATTTCGTCCCCTCCATTAGTCGTCTTTTCGTGGTTCTTCAGAGGAAAAGAGTCGACAACTGATTCGGGCGCAGGGAGTGAAACCATGGAGAGGGCAAGAGAAACAGGCTGACCATGAATTTCATCCAACACCTTCAAATACACAGAGAAGAAGATGTGAGATAACTGTTCAAATACAGCAATAGAACTCCAAAAAGTGGGCGATGCTCCAAGTGCAAAAACGTTTATCAGAAATATCCAGTGGCATAGTGTAACAACCCAAGCCCACCGCTAGAAGATATTGTCCGCTTTGGCCCGTTACGTATCACCGTCAGCCTAACGGTTTTAAAATGTGTCTACTAGGGAGAGGTTTCCACACCCTTATACGGAATGCTTTGTTCCCCTCTCCAACCGACGTCGGATCTCACAATCCATCCCCCTTGGGGTCCTAGCATCCTGGCCGGCACACCGTCCGTTGTCTAGCGCTGATTCCATTTATAACAGCCCAAGACCACCGCTAGCAGATATTGTCCGCTTTGGCTCATTACATATCACCGTCAGCCTTACCGTTTTAAAACGCGTCTACTAGGGAGAGGTTTCCACACCCTTATAAGGAATGTTTTGTTCCCCTCTCCAACCGATGTGGGATCTCATACATAGAGTTCCAATTAAAGTGAACTTTAAACAGTAATGTATGGTTTACTTAACACAATATCATCTTAAAATTTAAAGAATTGAACAGGGGAAGACTACCTCAAATAATGCTTCAGCAAGCATGATTATCCGTGATATGCTTGCACGGGTACTCGAGTGTTCTATCCTTGAGAACGAGTCACACGAGCAAGCACCATTAGAGTGAATGCCTGATGGGCAAGATAAGTTCTGCCGACTGTTTTCGCTGAGACTACTACGGAGTCTTTCCCATATCTGCACCTATTTGAGAAGCAATCATGAATAAACAGAACAAGGTTCAATTACTACTTGAAAGGAAAATATAGAACATTAAGAATGTAACCTGGGATCTTGAGTCTCTTTGTTGTTCATTCAAGATGTGAATTCTTCTGGGAAAATGTCTTGAATCGCCACGCACTTCATCATCGATAAAATTACCACTTATATCGAGGAGCCACCGGTCTGAATCTCCTGTAGTACTTATGTTATTAGGAGGGAAAAGAAACGGAGATTCACTATGTCTTCTAAAACTACGTCTCGAAAAGGCATCCCAAAACAGTCTTCTGCTATTCCTTCTGATCATAAGCGAATTTGCATCAATGCTACTTGTAGATAAAACGTTGGAAGAAATACCGACCATATCGACATGAGGCATACCCACATCTCCTGGCTCCCTATCATCAGACACAAAAGTGTCTAAACTCGAGGGTACCTCTCGTGAAGATTCGTCTTCAAGGGATTGAAAAGTTAACGGAAGATCCGAATCAGGAGAAGATTCAGACTCCGGGTTCTGGTTGGCTGTTCCCTCATCCTCTTGAACGTAACCTGTCAGCTCGTTCAAACATAAATCTCCAACCTCTTGAGTATTCGAGCTGCTTGCCGCAAACATGACCTTGGTGCAGACTGGAGATACACCCTTGTCCACTGAACTATCAATACCATTTACTGCATCCTCGTTAGCCAGAATATTTACAGATACTGGTTCCGAAGATCGATCTCTATGTCTACGAGATTCATCACGACTGTAATCAGCACTAATCTGTTGAAGGGGAACTAATTCCTTGTTTTGAGACAAACACTTCCCATGATCATTGATATCAATATTAGGATCATCTACAGCACATTGCTCCTCACTGACTACAATGCTGTTCTCGTGCGAGGCCTCGGAATGAGCGCTTGCGCTAGGAAGTCCCGTTCTTATAGATCCATTTGTGGGGAGCTGAACTTCATCAATGATGTGATTACAATGTTGATGTTCTGTCGGATGGACAAGAAATTGAGCTGTAGAATCTTCCATCTATTTAAAATATGTGTCAGCTAAAGACTTAATCCGTCATCTAAACTTGTTAAAACTTGCAAAACGAGAGCAAAAGACGAGATCAAGACAACTTAGATGATTATAAACTAATAATAATTGAGAGAACAAAAGATTTCTACTAAGATATTGCCACGAAGATGAACAATATAAGCATAGCCAAATCATCATCCCACTCACAGGCAAAACAAACAGCAAACAGACACAAACATATCACAAAAGCTACAGAATCGGACCTAATTTATGAGAGATACACCGATCTTCTTCACTTGGTAGATCAAAACTCATCCAAAATCCCCCAAAATGCAACACCAGAGCTTCAAGCAACTAAAAAGCACACCAAACGGACACAAGACTTCAATCAAGAGGTCAACCTTTGAAATGAAGATAGTCAATCTCAGATTATCCAAACAAGATTTCCAAGGACGAAATAGATTCAAGTTCACGAAGAATCGGAAGAAATGGGAGAAAGAGTAAACAAGAGAGAACAAAAGATTCGATGATGATAATAAAAACAATAAGATTAGAGGAAGAAAAACAACCTGATGAATCGCGCGAGAAGAGGAAGCACCGCAGAAGAGGGAGCAGAATTTGGAGCGGTTGGTGCGGTAATCTCGGGAGCGAGAAGGGCGCGACCCCAAACGACTACAACTCGAACCCATTAGGGATTTGGAGAAGAAGCGATGATCCGTATGGATGAAGACGACAGAAATTTGAAGAACACGAAATTGAATTCAGACCTCTCTGATTCCAAATTCAATCGAAAACCAATAATTCGATTGATCGGAATGGGGAGTTCGTGGTATAGCAATAATTCCTTTCGTTTTTTGAAACTTTATTATAATATTATCCATACCTTTTTGTACTTCTAAAAGGCTGGCTTCGAAGGTTTCTTCCCATTAAAAATGGAGTTCAGAGGTGTCATGTCGCCATAGCTCTCGACATCGAGCTTTTGGAGGAAACCTTCTTTGCTATGGCTGCGGCCGTGAAGAAATTAAGATTATTTTATTTTTTATTTACAAATTTTATAAATTTTTTATTTTGTATTTGAAATTCGACATAAAAATTAAAATGTGTGTTTTGAGAAAAATAATAAAGCTACCAAAATAAATAAATAAATATGTTTTAAATCCGAAGCAATCGTTCCGGTCAAAGACTTACAACCCGTAATGTCTTAGTTCATTCGTTCCTCTTTCCCGGAACGTTCAGTGTCTGATTTAGGGTTCTATTCTTTTCTTCTTGGATCTTGAATCCAGCCAATTTTCTGAATCAGACACTGTAATCTCTGTACTTCTTTGTGTTCTTCGCAGCTGGGAGAGAGGGAAGGTTCAATTATTTGTTGAGTTTCTTGGCATTTTCTTTTTCTTCTCTTTTGTACAGATTGCTTACGTTTTGCAGCAATCGTACAACGATCTTGATTGATCTTCGGTTTTCAGTTGCTTAGGGTTTTCGTTTAGTTCTTCTTTTATGTTACTGTGATTATCTTCACGGAATGGTTACGATGCAATCCAATCGCTCCGTTGCTCCAGCGATTGATTTGATCCCAAATCTTAAACCTCCGCACAAGAGTTTAGGTTTTCACAGAATCTTAGTTCTGATCATCACGTTCTTAGCGTATGCGTCCTTCCATGCCTCGAGAAAACCTCCGAGCATTGTTAAGAGTGTGCTTGGACCAACAATTCCGGTAAACTCTTCGAGCGTTTTGCTGAATTCGACTTCATTTGAATCTGATTTGGCCTCAAATGGAACTGGTTGGGCTCCTTTTAATGGCTCTGATGGCACGCAGTTGCTCGGGAAGCTTGATCTTGCGTTTCTTTCTGCATATTCTATTGGAATGTATTTTGCAGGGCATGTTGGTGACCGTATTGACTTGCGATTGTTTCTTGTTTTTGGGATGATGGGTAGTGGTGTTTGTACGATACTGTTCGGGCTGGGATATTGGTTGAATCTTCATTTCTTGTGGTTTTTCGTTAGTGTTCAGATTGTTTGTGGTCTGCTTCAGTCAATTGGATGGCCATGTGTGGTGGCAGTTGTAGGCAATTGGTTTGGGAAAGCTAAGAGGGGGCTAATTATGGGTATCTGGAATTCACATACTTCTGTTGGAAACATCATTGGGTCGATTATAGCTTCTGGGATGTTGGAACTTGGTTGGGGTTGGTCGTTTGTGGTGCCTGGAGCTCTTGTGATTTTCGTTGGCATTTTGGTGTTCTTGTTTCTGGTTGTGAGTCCAGAAGACATTGGATTTGGAACCTCTGTTAATGAGATTGAATTGAACGCAGAGGTCAGTCCAGTTGAAAAGCTGGAGAACACAGAGTCAGAGGTGGCTGTGCTGCTTGAAGATGAGCATTTGGATTCTATGGCTGCTATTGGTTTCTTAGAGGCGTGGAGATTGCCGGGTGTTGCACCATTTGCCTTTTGTCTCTTCTTTTCGAAGCTTGTCGCTTATACTTTTCTCTACTGGTTGCCATTTTACATTAGGCACACAGGTAGGTACCTGTTTCTTATCGCTAAGGAATGTTAATATCCTTTGAATCTTTTTAGAATGGATTTGTAACGATATTGTCCTATTTGAGCTTTCCCTACTTTTGGGCTTCCCCCAGGTTTTAAAACCTATCTGCTAGGGAGAGGTTTCCACACCCTTGTAAAAATGTTTCGTTCTCCTTCTCAACTGATGTGGGATCTCACAATCCACTCCCCTTCGGGGTTTAGTGTCCTCGCTAGCACTCGTCCTCTTCTCCAATCAATGTGAGACCCCCTAATCCACCACGTTCGGGGCGCAGCATCTTTATTGGCACACCACTTCGTGTCTACCCCCTTTGGGGCTCAGCCTTCTCGTTGACACATTGTCCACTGTCTTGCTTTAATACCATTTGTAACGGTCCAAACCCACCACTAGCTGATATTATTCTTTTTGGACTTTCCGAACTTTCCCTCAAGGTTTTAAAACATTAGGGCGAGGTTTTCATACCTTTATCGGTTGGAGAGGAGAACAAAACATTCTTTATAAGGGTGTGGAAACCTCTCTCTAGCAGATGTGTTTTAAAAACCTTGAAGAAAAGTTTGAGGGAAAGTTCAAAGAAGACAATATCGTAACGGCATTCAATCCAATTCAGTGATACACTGAATGCGGACAACTGACAAATAGGTTCAAAATTCTGTAGAAATCATGTTCTAAATGTAGTTTTGAAGTCTGAATTGCTGACAACAGTTTTTCTTTGTTGTGATAGCTGTTGCTGGTGTGATTTTATCTGATAAAACGGCCGGCATCCTCTCAACCATTTTCGACATTGGAGGAGTCTGTGGTGGAATATTAGCAGGATTAATATCTGATTTGATCGATGCCCGTGCAGTTACATCAGTAACGTTCCTGCTGCTCTCGATTCCTGCTCTAGTTCTCTACCGTGCTTTCGGGAGCATTTCGACAGCCACCAACACCTGCTTGATGTTTCTTTCGGGATTACTTGTCAATGGTCCATACTCACTCATTACAACAGCGGTTGCTGCTGATCTCGGTACTCAGAGTTTGATTGGAGGAAATTCCCGCGCTTTAGCAACCGTGACCGCGATCATAGATGGCACGGGATCTGTTGGGGCAGCTCTTGGCCCTCTAATGGCAGGATATGTTTCCAGAAGAGGATGGAACAGTGTCTTCTTCATGTTGATTCTTTCCATCTTCTTCGCGGCTCTCTTCTTGGTTCGCTTAGTAAAAACTGAGATCAAAGAAAAGTTAAACGAAGGACGATGGTTTTCTAATACGCAGACGTCAACGGTTTAGAACAGTAGATTTCTGCTAGAAAGGAGTTTTGAAAGGTATTTGTACATCTTTGTATCCTATTCTTTCCTATTCATTAGAAAGATTCATGTACCATACACAGTAATTGAGTGTAGAATACAACAAATTTATCGAAAAGCATTTCTTATCAATCATATTCTCGAAGTCGAATACATTGGTGGCTCCATCACTCAGTTATTCATTCATCAACAATAAGCTATGCAAAGTTAAGAACAGGCAATTACAAGGTTACCAACTCTATTTTCGAGAAGCGAATATGAATACAATTGTGGGAGTTCCATAAGAGAGAACAATACCAGCTCTCGATTCGATTCAAAGGATCGATCGAAGCAGAGTTTCGAGCTCAGTCTCGTCTTTCATGGTGGGGCAACTGGATGTTGATCTATCAAGTCAAAAAGTTCATCTCCAATCCCAAACCCAAGCATCCTAGCCATATTAGCTGTTTTCAATCTTGGCTTTGGAATGTCATGTTGCTTCAACCATGAATACACAATAAAGACTTTCTTCATCACAAACAACTCCAAAGCCTCAGGATTGAACACAATTCCCATTCTCATACTAATCTGCAACCACAAAGATCCCAAATGAGTCCATGTTAATAAGAACATTTTCTTAGCATGCCATCACTAACATCACCTGGTGAGGGACGAGCATGGCTGCATAGCGAGCGAGCTCTCCCGCTCTCCAGTCCAGTAAAACTGGTAGCCATGGATACTCTGAATCAAGCCTCACAAACCACAGTCTTATGTCGGGGTATTCGGATAATTCACGTCGATCGTGAGGATCTTCTCGGGTATAATTGATTGTAAAACCAATTGTACGCTCAAGAAATTGTTTTGGCTCAGCTGTAACAATACTAGGAAAGAGAACTCATCAGGGATCACAGAACTCATTTCAAAACAAATTTACAACCCAAAACTTACTAGCTAAAGGTGAGATTATTCCAGTTGTTTTCTGAAATGAGGATAAGTCTAGATGACGAATTACATCGTTATCTATCACCACGTCGAACCGACCTTCAGTAGGTGGCATTGGAGGTGAAACTTTAGAAGAATCTGTTTTTAACAATCAGTTCAAACTCATCAAAATTTGAAGAACTCCCCAACATATCACCACTACAATTGTTCTTCCTTTTCTTTAGTTTCCATACCATTAAATCTGCCTAATAGTTCATATTTTCCTTTTCTCCAAGAGCAGCAATGGATTTGAGTATCATCATCAAGAAAATGGAAGCGAAGAACCAAAGAACAGAGCAATATTCCAATGACTAATTATAAACCTAACCAAATAATTGACCCATGCAATTCATTCAACGCTCATGGATTGAAAAAAAAAAATCCCCCTATCTATCTCTGGAATGCACAAACCGAAATAGGTACAGAACAAATCAGAAATTGAATCAGAATCAATTCGAGGATTTACCATCTTCATCATCTTGCAAAGAGAGATCAAATTTTCCGGATGGATTAAAGGCAACCGAGGCTGATACTTGTCGTCGCTGCCGAGAAGAGGTGAAAATAGAGCAAAAAGGCGAAGAATCTGAGATAGGTCTACAGAAACTCCATGAAATAGGCGAGCGAGATGGATGATTAAAGGAAGGAGAAAGTGGAAGCAAAGGTTTAATGGCGGGAGTGGACATGGAGACGACGATAAGGCGTGCAAAAATACCAACGGTGGGAGGCGGAGGCGTCCGCCTGGTTTATCTTCTCCCTGATCTTCCTCCATCTTGTTCTACTTATCCAATTTAGCTTCAAATTTCAATTCCTTTCTTTTATTAAATTTATTAATTAAATTATCAATTTTATATTTAATACATCCTTATTAAAACTTTTAAAAATTAATTAACATATTAGAAATTAATATTAAAATGGGCCCTCATTTCTCTGGGCCAGTATGTTGAAATAGCTGCTAGTAAATTGGGCCCGTCCGGCCCAATATGTAATTTTAGTTATATTTATTTTTAAAATATAGTATTTTTTATTTTTGTAATATTTTATTTAAATAATTTTAAGACTTTGAACTTATGAAGAGATATTCAAGTTGTGGTTTTAAATTAGGTTTAAGTCCATAAATGTTAAGTTGAAAAATACTTTCCTTTGACTTTTAATGAAAAAAATGTTAAATTCACGTCCTGATCAGACATATTAGTCGATAATATTTATTTTAATTAATTGAACTATGTTCAAATTGGTATGTCTGAGAATAACAACATTTTGCATGACTTTTTCAAAATAGAGTGGTTAAATTAACACGTTATTCGAAATTGATCGATTAATACGTTGATTGAAATTAAATGTTTGAATTTTCACATCTCTCACTTATTATTTAAAATTTTTTATTTTAATGTATTTATGTTTCAAATAGATTAAAATTTTAAAAATAACTTTTAAAACAAAACCATGGGCTAAATATTCTCTTTAAACTATAAAAATATTTATCAAAAAAAAAAAAAAAAAAAAAA